TAAGATTACAAACATGTATCATTTTTTATCCTCACTTGCTAAATTTCTTTGTTCATATTTTTATACGCTATGTTGTCAGGGTATTATAGCTTTGTGCAGCCCCAAAAGTTTGTAACGCCGCGAAATATTGGTCCTAGACCCACCTTTAAGTATACCGATCGTCATATCTCGACTAGCTGAGTCGATCTAGACATGTGTGTCCGTCCGTCTGTCCGTTGGTCCATTATAATTTGTAAACACGATACAGGCCACTGTTATGGACCAATCCTCACGAAATTTTGCATGTAGAATGGACCCTGACTTTTGTGTGAAAAATGACAAAATTTGTATTATATGGTGTATATATTTGTCCCTGAAGGACCTAGACCTTTAAATTGATACCAATTAAATGGTCGTATGTACTCAGATGTAGGAGCTACACTTAAATATTTACAGGTGCTTACGTATTCAGACATTATTTAGTTTCCCAAAACCACACTAGAGGGCGGAAATATAGCGCTGATCGCTTTGAAAATTTCCATGAGATTCCAGTTATGGTCAAGGACAACACCTATAACTTTCGGTGATGATCAGATGATAATTTTGGGATGAAGTGGACCGAAAATTTAAAATTTTATGTTTTTTTTGAGTCGATCTATATTCCACAATTGAAAGCCCAACACACTACATAACCCACGGTAAAGAGAATCTGGACAAATATAGCCCTCGTCTACTGAATATTAGTAATATATGTTGACTTTTAGTCAGGTTTCAAGAGGATGCAAATAAGGCAAAGTTAGATTTTCGTGGAAGTTGTGTAGGGTATTATATGGTCGGCCCCGTCCGACTATACTGCTCCGCTCACTGGTTTTTTTTTTATTTATTTGTGATACAAAATATTAAGCCATGATTTGCTTTTAGTGTACGTGAGTCAACTAAAAGGCGTGCTCCACAAAAGTTAAGCAAGACCTGTTTTTATGCATAAGAAAATGAGAACAACCTCATCCAACTTCAATTTCTATGTTCAAACTGAGCAAGAAGAGATCAAACGTGAACAGTGAGTAAAAGCAAATACATCAAATTTTATTATGCATACGACAAGCTCCTTTTACTCAAAAATTCGAGTCCGAGCTCAAACTCACGTTTTATGCATGAGACCCATTGTGTGGCATAACAAGGGTAGGGCCGAACAATTCACTGATTGAACGATAAGAATCTGTTGCCCCTCTTTTAATATAATAATGTATAATGGAAAATATGTCGATTATAGCGTGCAATCCTCCCGGCTTGATTGAAATAAAAGCACAACTAAAAAGTAACAAAACACCAGGATAAAATGTTTTACCGGCGGAAATTGTAAAAGGTGACGACTGATCTGCAGCTGAGTTACTTCGACATCATATAACATCAGAAAGACTGCCTTCAACTTCAACTTATTGTTGTGAAGTTATGCTAAAATGATGGTTATAACAAAAGGGGAGGAATAACCCTGTTCAATACCCTATAGGCATTTCCGGGAATAGATAAACCAGAAGTCGAAGAATTTTTTTTCTTTAATTACACTTAGATACGTAAAGTAAGGACAAAAAGTATAAAGAAAGACAACATTTGTCATCATTTCTTCTTGTTCTTAGCATAAATATTAATTTAACACTAGATTTACGGAGTGAGCCAATTTCACTCATTTAAAATTTAATACCTAAATATATTCAAAATTTTTAATAATTACACACTGGTTTTTAGTTACGTAATGAAATATATTTATATATGAAGGTACATTCCACATCCCCGCAGACCCAACGATTTGACATTATTGAATGTTGTATAACAATTTTTACGGATGTAAGCCAATTTGTCTCATATAATGGAATAAAGCTATGCGGCTAACTTTTGAATTATTTTTGAAATTTATTGGTGCTATCAGGAAATTACGAGATGTTGAGAATTTGTGGAGGATGTACATTTTCGCGATCTATTAGATTTAATTTTTTAAGTTCTAAACTTTTTGGGGAGTTACCAGAAGGAGTGGATCGATAGACTACATCTGCGGATATGATCTAAATTTGTTAAAAATATTGATTTTGTACGAAATTGCGGACAAATCGGATAATCAAAAAGCTTCGTATTGGATTTACACATGTCTTTATAGGAAGATGAACTATGTGGAGTGGGTCAGAATCAAAGAAAATTTGATAAAGCTATTACTTCAAGCTATTAATTTCAAGTTTTTAGCTCTCTATTCGTCTACATGCTACGAAATTGTACCAAATTTTGTACTTTTCGGATACTAACAGTTCGATTTTCTAACCTATCAATCTGGGCGTTAATTAATCTTTAAATCAGCCAACCACTTTGCTCGTTTATTAGTATAGATGCCTCAGGATCAAAATGTAGAATATTGCAGCCTAACAGCATGAGTTCTGGATCCTAACAAACCAGGAACCCATACTAAATCAGATTTAACGTGAGAAACATCCGACAACGGTATGAGGTTGATAGACTTCGCTGCAGCTAATAAAAACATGGTAGTTAGCAGCACCAGATTCAAGCATATCGATATACACAAGGCCACGTGGATTTCAAATTGATCATGTTGTGATAGAAGGAAGGCATATATCAAGTGTTGTAGACGTTCGATTGATCCTAGGAGCTAATATCGATTAGGACCATTCCCTTGTGACAGCCAAGCTTAGCAACCGTCTTAATGTAGTAGCAAAGGTGCGATCTAATGGAACTCGGAAACTCGATGTCGAAAAGCTGCAAACACAACAGATAGCAGAAGCCTCCTCTGGTTAACTTACCCACCTGCTTGACGAAAGCACTAGTTGACCCGATAATATTATAGAAGCACAATGGCAAAGTATTGCCCACTCCCTACAAACTGCAGCAAAAGCAACACTTGGGTACCAAAGACCACCATCAGGAAACCTATGATACGATCAGGAGTGTCGTAATGCTACTGATGTGAAAAACGATACAGCGTGTTGGGTATCTGGAAGGAGTATTTTGAAAAGCTTCTGGTATCAAATAGTGGCGGTGAAGAAGATACTCCAGAACCAATAGGAGATGTCGGTATAGAGTGTAGACCACCTAGTAATTAATCGGCTGAAGAATAATAAAGCACCAGGTGCCGACGAATTATCAGCCGAACTATTCAAGACCGGTGGTCAGGAGCGTGCACCAGCTGATTAATACAATTTGACTAGAGGAATACATGACCAATGATTGGAACCTCATCATCCTATGGCCCGTGCACAAAAAAGGAGACAAGGCGATATGTGCCAACTACAGAGGAATTAGTCTCCTTCCCATCGCATATAAAGTGCTATCTAGTTTTGTACTGTGAAGCCAATAGTCAATGGCATTATTGGACCATGCCAATGCGTCTTCAGGTCTGGCAAACCCACCATAGACCAGATTTTCACTCTGCGCCAAATCCTGGAAAAGACCCACGAAAAACTCATCGACACATTGAACCTATTCGTTGACTATAAATCCGCATCGACAGCCCAATCCGCTCAAAGGTGTTTAAAGTCATGTCTGCGTTCGGCATTCCTGCAAAATTAATTCGGTTATGTTGGATAACTTCAACTGGCACAAGGTCAACAGTTAAAGTCGGAAAAGACTTCTCGGAGCCCTTTTATGCCGAACGACGATTCAGACAAGGAGACAGTTTGTCGAGTGACCTATTCAACATCCTTCTGAAAAAGGTCATTTAAGATGCAAATGTGAACAGAAATGACACTCTGTACACCAAACAGCACATGTTACTCGCCTCATCGACGTAATGGTTCGAACATTGTGAGCGGTAACAGCCACCTTTGAACGAATTGAGAAGGAGTCTGACAAAGTCGGCCAGGCAGTAAATGGCGAGAAGACAAAGCTGAATGTCCAGTAGACTCGGATCAACTGTGGAACTTGAATACTACAGCTTCGATGTAGTCATCGATCTTATATACCTTGGTTCCGCCATAAATAAAACTAATGATATCAGTTTTGAAATTCGGAGAAGAATAGTACTGGCCTGAGTAAACATCTCAAAAGCAAGTCCACCTCTCGCCACACCAAACTAACACTCTACAGGACCCTGATACTACCCGTGCTGTTGTATGGATCTGAAGCATGGGTACTTGCGCAAGCAGATGAGACAGCTCTTGAAGTGTTTGAGAGAGTTTGATTTCCCCGGAAGATCAATGGGCCGATCTGCGTTGACGGTGAATATCGCCGTCGAATGAACCATGAGCTGTACCATCTATTCTCTTACATCGGAATTTTAAAACGTATCGAGCTGCAGCTACTACGTTGGCTAGGTCATGTCGTGCCAATGGATGAGGATGCCCCAACTCAAAAAAAGAAGGGGTAGGCCACGAATGCGATGGAAAGATCAAGTCGACGGCAACATCTCGGAATATGGTCTTTGAAATTGGATGAGCTGCGCGCAAGACCGATGCTCGGCTTATGGAACAAACGTTTTGTCACAAGCTAGCTAAGTAGGTAAGTAATTATGGAGATGGGTTCGCCTTACCTTAAGAAAAATGTATTTACCACAACCAGAATGTCACTTGAATGGAATCCTCAAGATTCACATGAATAGAATACCACCCAAATTTCGGTATTTTGGGGGATTTTTATGGATTCTCATTGTTTATGGATTCTCATTTTTTATGGATTCTCATTTTTATGGATTCTAAAGTTTCAAATTATTGCCTATTATTGTCCCGTATTTTATCCTAATTGTAGTGTGTTATTACGCTCTTCTTGGCATCAATTTAGCTCGCATATGAAAGTTCCGATCTATTTTAGGTGAATTTAAATATCCACCTCCGGCGGAGGGTTGCGTCGAACATAACGACGTTTCTTATCGATATTTCTTTTAAATTCTTTTTATTTTATTTTATTTCAAAATATAACATTTATTATTGTTGATTGCTTAAATATTACAACATTCTTATAATTAATAAAAATTAAACTAAATATTTTCGAAAAACTAACTTAAATAAATTTAAAAAAAAATTGAAATCCTATTGTTTTACCGGTGTCAACAGATGTAACGGATTAATGTAACACAAATAATCGACAACGCCCAACTTCATAGATAGCCAATAAAAGAACCAACTGCAGATTAGAATTTTGCAGACACGATCCAAAATGTACATGCTAAAAGGAATAAAAAACAAAGGGGATTTATTTTAAAATCAAAGAGAGAGAGAGAGAGAAAGAGAGGGAGAGAGAGAAATGTCCACTTACATTCTATAGATAACCTTGGCCCGGGGTACATTACTCATGGGCTCCTTGCAGACATATTGTCGGGCGCCAATACAGCAATTGAACATATATTCATCCTTGTCGAATTGTAGCGGAGTGGGGAAGCTAAACAAAACATTTTTTTTTTTCATTCAAATTAAATATGAAACTCTCTATACGTACATTGCCTTTTCTTCGGGTGTCAACGATTCGCATAGCTCAATATATTTGGGATTTTGAAAATTCCATGCTTTGGTGGTGAAAAATTGCAAAACTTTCAAACCGGCCATTAGACGTTTGTGGGCACGCAATAAGCTGGAAAAAATAGTTTTTTTATTGCAAATATATATTTTCAAAATTAAATTAAAAAAAATTATTAAATTCCACTTACAATCTCTTCTGACCACACAGAGTCAGCAGACAATCCACTAACAGCGCCGGCAGCCACATAAACAATATGACACTGAACCAATGATAATATCTGTTCATTGTCAGGTTACAATTGGGATACCACAGTGGCATGGTCAACGGATATTCATTATTGAATTCCATGGATTTTTCCACCACCCATCGACTGGTGGTTTTTTGATCCTCGCCCAGGGTGAGATTGAAAACCGGAATTTCAGCGGGTCTGCAGAAAGGAACAAAAAAAAGAATAAATTTGAATAAGAAACGGGGTTTCTCTTTGAGAGTAATTTCTGTGAAAAAGAGCGTTAAAAACGGCTCTCTGCCTGATCCTGGTATAAACTTAAAAAAAAATACACTCCACCATTTGGTGTGCATTCCAAATTCCTTAAATCGACCTGGACCTGTACTAAATTATCTGTTGGTATGCTGTATATCCTCTTAGAAATTTCAAATCCAAATTAAAGGTATTACATTATATTCGCTTTGACTGAAGCGGAACCTTTCTATGGGGAGTATTTAAAACCACGGATCTATATTTTTTATTCCGCAGGAATCTGGAAAGCCATAGTGCAATCACTTCAATGAGAACATGCAGCTAAAACCTTATCGAATTACCAAAAATGTGGCAGGATGTTTGTATGGAGGTTATCTCAAAACATTAGACCCATATCGAAAATCGCCGGCGAAAAAGTTTTGCATAGCATGCCAAATTACAGACACTTCGAGGGAAAATACTGCTTAAATGTTTCCA